GCGAAACCCTTGCGACGTAAATCAGGCGGTACTTCGGTATGCCTCAGTTCCAGTATGTTGTTCGGTAAACGTCGATATTGGAGAAGAGGTCGCGGACCATTGAGCCTAATGAAAAACTGTGATGCTTTGCGGCAATGTTCCACAAGCATGGCGACTAGTAGTTTGTGGAATGAATGTTTTTGAGCAGAAGCTGCGTAAATTTATCTAAAATATATGTATTTATGGGTCATTAACTGGCAAAAAAATTTTTTTAAATTTTCTCGTTGACATGAAATGAAATTAACATTCTGCATGTTGCGCAAAACGATTATGCAAAGGTCAAAAACCAAACCCGTTCAGCATATCACTCACACACAGAAGTGGGCATTTGAAAATAATCGGAGTTCTGTTCGATGCTAACAATGATCGTCGATGACTCCCTCTTCCGAGAGCTAGAAGCAAGCTGATGGTTACTTCTAAGTATTGGGAAGTGTAGCATTGCTACTGGTAGGGTGCGGAGACAAGAGGAAAGAGGAATAGGACGGTCGACTTTGTTTATTTGATATTCGTGAAGAAGCCAAATTATACAACCTTATTTAAGCCAGCCGGTATTTGTATTGGGTAGCATTGCTTAGTACCAAATTTGCCATCGAAACAACAGAATAAAACGCAAAGGACTTAACTATCTTGTTAGGAGAATCAAACCTTCGATCTTCAGCAGTGAGAACACCGTGTTACTAGACAGCTCAGAAAGTTCAACAGCTAAACGAAATAAAAGCAAATGAACTGGAGAATGAACACATCAAAAACAAATAAATGCGAAACAGGTAACAAGTGGAGTGAGACTGAGAGAAAGACAATCGAAAATGGAACATGTGATAAGGGTGGAAGTGCAAAATGCATCAGAACGCATCTGAAAAAAAATTTTTTGTATCTAAAATCTATAAAATCTGGTAAAATGTAAGAATTTTACTATTTCACACAAAAATGATGTGCATGAGCTAATTCTGCACCAATTTTGCAAATAAATTCACCGTCCTACAAAAGTCTGATCCCCACTCACCCCGCTATGAATTCCATTAGAATCTCCAAACAGCGAAAGTAGGACTTAATCTCCGTAGCTGTTCCTCAAATAAGTATTAATTTGACGGGAAGAGCTAGGGGAACATGCCTTTGCATTAGTTAGTAGCAGCCAGCTAGGCGATGAAAGATTGCTTGAAGATGGGATCTAAATCACCGGATCTCTGAACTGAGTGAACAAGGGACAATCATTAGATCCCAGACCCCGTGGAACAAGAACCATTACTTTTTCACAATATGTTCAAATCGATCCCGTAGCTGATATAAGCAAATGTGTAGACGAACAAATGAACTGGACTACTCCATGGTGTAATTCCCGGATCCCCAATCGCCAGAGGGACGTGATACCTGTTTCCTAATCAGATAGCTACACCACAGCCGCAGGTACATCATCTACCACGTGATCATTTTCGATGTCTGAAGATGCCTAGAGAAGCAGTAGACGCAGAAAAATCTCGAAAGTGAGAGTTCGTGGAGCACACAGAAGATGGAAAGAAGCAACAGGCGCTCCCCCACAAAAAAAATTGGAAGAAAGTTTTGATTAGACATTTATTTTCAAACGAAAAATACTATTTCCACACACACTAAAAAACGAAGCATGTGTTTCTCCTCTTCACCTGTAATGCCTCAGCTGCAGCGTTAAGAGTTACCCCAATAAAGAGTCCGTGAGACGACTCGTCCTCTCCAGTAGGGTAAATTAAAAAACTTGTTAAAAAAAGTGTGGAATAAAAAATCAGTAAAACTATGTAAGATAAAAACTGCGCTGCTCTCAATAACCTCTCGTTCTGTATCGCTCGGCACAAATGCGCCGTATTTTTCAGCCTCCAAGCAAATCATTTAGAGCTGCCTAATCGAGCGTTAAAAAGACGACCCACTGCAGTGTCAAGCTACCAGAAAGTCGGAATAATACCTGCAACCAACCAACTAATGCTCCTTCCACAGTGCTATCATTTGTGTACTGGTTTGGTACGTATAATTTATGGGCTGCTACAGCGAGCAAAAACGCTTATTGTCGAGAAGTCGTCTGTGTGGGTGGGTGTGTGTGTTTGTTCAGAAACGAGTGAACTTTGTACCCACTTTCATCTCAGTATCAGGTAAGTTGGGAGGCTGAAATTTCGGGTATATGCCCCTACCCCCGGTGTCACTCTGCCGTTTTTATGCGTTTTTGCATATATGAAAATTGCAAAAACGCATATTGGGAAGAGGCTGTCTGTGTGT